TAATATAATAATAATAATAATAATAATATTGTATCACATTCACACAACGCCATCTAGTCCCAAACTAAGCAGAGCTTGTACTATGGGTACTAGACAACTGATATAAATACATATATACCTACTTTTTTTTTGTAAATACATACTTATTATATACCCGTATACTTGTAAATAATGTCATCGAAGGAATACTTTAGTTTAATAGATTTAAATAGACTATTTAAAATGAACGTGAAATAATATTATTGCCACTCGTTTGTTCTTTTTCTGCATAATTCCCTCTAGGTAGTAAATATTTGTATACGATAAAAAGGTCTGTTAAAAAAAAAGAGTTAGGTTTATACATACATATATATATACATAGCTATATAGAACTTTTACGTTAGTATAGTAGCGCTAAGGTCTCGCGGTGTAATCGCGGTCTCTAGCATGGTGGTACTAAAGTACCTAGCATTTCCTTACGACATTTCAAGCTTTTTAAAATTTAATTATACTTCACACTTAAGAAACCAAATAATAATTGCTGCATATCACTGCAGTTCTATATATGCGATATATTCTATTGCTTTTCGTGTTATACTACAACAGTGATTTTCTGTGTGACTCATTAATTTTATATAACTCGGGTCATGTAAACTCAAACGGGGGAGTACTTCCAACTGTCATTTTTTGTGTGATAGCACAATCAAGCAATCAATATTTGTATTTTAAAAATGTTCAAAAACCACCCTAAAGGGTACCCGTTTAGGGACATCACTAAACGACAGAGATACAGAGGAATTATATAATTCTATTGTCTGCTATCTTAAGCTCTAAAATATCTTTTGTAGAAAATTAGAAATTGCAATTAGACGATAAACAAGAGAAAAGGAATTAAGCGCCTTCTAATGTTATTGTAACCTTTTAGTTAATTTGAACGCGTTCAAGTACAAATTTACATATATTCTGTTTATGATGAATCGGGATAAAGTAAAAATAGACGATAAGTGTCGGTTCAGAAAAACCGTTCCTAAACGGTGTTTATTGATCGACAATTGAACAAAGGTCACGCTGGCTATAAATTAGTCTCTACAACTTCATTAGATAGTACTGCTATAATTAACTCGCAACGATTTTAAACGACGGCTGTTATTCTGAAACATAAAAGAAACTGACAATATAAAGGCGATGTAAAAAATCTTATAACATGTACAATAAAAGTTGATAGAGACAGTACTTTGGGATGATAGAATTGTATAAAAAACTTCTTTAATTATTTAAACTCATTCATTAACAAAATTGATGAGCCCAACAACAGTTTCAAACTATCTATATATTTAAAAAGGGTTAAGTTAATTTGTGTACTCTTCAAAAACTCAAATGGTTCTGCACCAATTAAGTTTAAATTTTGACGCGATATACAACCCGCTTCAAAGATTGTTTTTATTTATTTTTCGAGTCACTTTTATTCCTCATTTCTCATAAATTCGACCACAATGTGCACAGCGATGCGTAGCAGGGTACAACTTGTATATTATACATAAGTATATAGTTTTTGCGCGCGGCTCCGCTTCTTTGCATATCGGTTATCGCCGTAGAAAGTAGCCTATGTTACTCGCTGATAATGTACTTTTCCATTGGTAAAAGAATTTTTAAAATTTAGTATTTTAAGTTCAATGGTTCAGGCGTGAAAGCTAACAAACAAACAAACTCACTTTAACATTTATAATACATATAAGTGTGGATGTAGTTAGAGACATAGGAAATGTCGGTATTGATGATGATGCTTATGTTTTTAATTTCTATACTGACTGACTAACTAGAATCGCATTAAAGTTTGGACTTAATCGGTGCAAAAGTTTTGTGTAAGCTTATGCAACCAACATTTATATATATTTATAAATAAATGAATAAATAATGTGAAATAAATAACTGACACACAAGCCATCTAGTTTCAAACTAGGCAGAGCTTGTACTATGAAAGTTAGTTTGACTGATAGCATGCCTATTTTTTTTTTTGTAAAAACATAAAATTTGTACATAGAAAACACCCAAACTTCGAAACACTTATTTTTTACAAACCCGGGAATCGAACCAAATGTAGATTATTAGCTTACTTCGGTCGTTCGTCTTAACATTATACAGGCGACAGTGAGTATGTTTGAGTGTTTGCATACAGGCTGTCAAGGACGCAAAAGCAGACAGCGGGCGAGGGGTAGACAAATAATTTTTACGCTAAGAAAGCAACAGACATAAGCTAGTTGACAATAATAGCGCTTAATCTAAACACAACTTATAGTAGGCACCTAGTGTTTAAATGTTAAATTTGGTATGCATATTTAATAATAATCATAATCTACAAACTGTAATGAAACAAAATGTATCTGCTATAAATTGACTTATTTGTTAGTTTGTATATAACAAACACACATAATACAAATAATGGCAACGAAGGAGGACATATTCACGCGTCGCACAGGATGCGGTAGTCCATAATTGATGCAATCAACCAACTAAAATTAGGCTTCTTTACATTTATTTCAACTTTTGTCACTGTGCTGCGGTTTCTTAACAAAAAAGAAATGATATTTCTAAATACCTAACATTAAATAATACAAATGAAATAACTTTCAAGTGATGTTTTTTATTTATTTATTGTTTTAAAGGTTACTTTTTATAATGTTGGCAATTAAAGTTAAAACGTGTCAGATTTTTGGTAATTAAACTTTTACCCACTTGACTTTCCCCTATTAATTTTGTTAGAAGAATTGTAAAAAGGGAGGTGTACCCTTATGTAAAGTCATGTTGTGTAAATCTTACATGTTCCTTGATGTCGATAGAGAATTAATGCGACTGACTGGTGAAGGGGGGTTCACCCCTCTTTTGTATACTCATATGTACTGCTTTATTTATTTGTAATAACCTGTTTTCATGCAAACTGATAAACAACAATTCACTTACACAAATTATCATTTCGATCATTAAATTTGTGCAAAAGTGTTTGCCATGATCTAAGTTCTATTTACGTACTTTGTAGTTGTTATAACATCTTGCACTTATACTATATACAAATATTCAATTGGGTATTTTGTTAAGCTTATCCGAGGGCATCGCGGCTCGACGTTTATTAATGAATTATGTAAATGAGATCGACCGACGTTAGCAGGCAACTGTACCAACTTTATTACTCGCCAAATGCACCATTAATATATGTAGTAGGTATATCGTTAACTTATAACTAGATTTCTACAAAATGATTACATTGTACCTTCTATTTCAAGATATTAGTACCTTTCATACGCAGAAGGACATGTCTATATTGTTTCCTTTATATTTAGCAATACTTTATGCATATAAATAACGCAAATAAATGTCATAATAAAAAAAAATCTTTTGCTTGTTACAAATTTGTTAGCTTCTAAAAAAAATATATTTTAAATTATACACGTACCTACTTATTTATTTGCGTTAACACAGTGACTGTGTTGCTGATATTATCCATGATGGATGTAGCACATTTCTGGCTTATTGGGTGGCTCTGTTGTCGCCTTGTCGACGCTATGTTTTGCTCTCATTCATATACGAGTATGGGCATCCTCTCTTTGTGGAACGTAAAGATCACTTACCTGTGATAGTCCGACGCCATACCAACCTTTAAAGACACCTTAATATCGTTTATTTATGCATCTGAATATCTGTATGCTCCCGAGAATTTTATTGACAAAAACTTACTCGTCGTTAGATGTAACACTTTTTAATGATATGTTTGACACCACACTTTAAGTGTTTTATGGGTGCTATTAATTCATTCTTTCACTTTGGATTTTATTACACACATTCCATGAATTCTTAGCAGCTATTAAAAAGGGTTACCTCCGACATTTTCCATAATAAAGACGCAAACAAACCACAATGTAAAGTGATCTCTTCTAATAGTGTCAGAAAAAATATGTGGGTACTAGTTTAGGGGCACTTTTTATTAATGAAAGGTACATACATAATTTAAATGATTTACCTTTCCTGAAGATACTATAGGGGTACACTTTGCATACACCTTTATGATAATTAGATGAATGGTGGAATAGCGCATAGAATAAGCACAAATATTGGTTTTTAGGGTTCCGTAATTTTTAGAAGGAATCTTTATAGTTCTGCCATGTCCGCCTGGCTGTTCCTCCGTCCAATCGCAGTTTAGCTTTAAGACTGTAAGTACGCTATAAACAAAATGGTAAAATAAAAATAACCAAAGTTGAGTTAGCTCTCTTACTGTAGGAACTGTGGTCGCCTAACATATAAAATGTAAAGTACCTATAGTGTACTTTCTTATAAAACTCAAAATCCTTAGGAAAACTACTGTGATGGTGTTTAAAACGGGTAAAAATAAACTACAGAACCCTACACTGAGCGTGCCTGCCGCACACTTGACCGGTTTATATGCACAAGATGACGGTTGTTTGATATGACAGGCTATTGACTACTTGTTTAGTATCAAAATTATAAAAATGCCGTTTAGATTTTATAAAAAATATAATAATCAAGCCTACATCATAAATAAACGATGTTGAGATGTTATCGGTACTTCGCCGGCAGGAAGCGCTTCGGCCCATTTAGGGCTGCATTAAAATCGAATACATCATATTTGTTTGATTTCCTAGTTCGCGTTTCACCCTGTAATTATACAAGTCACCGTCCGTGGCCGGATCTTAGATGGTTTTTTTGTTAAGATGCATTAATCATCTTTTTTTATTGCAGGCATATGTTTTTGTCTCGTAAAACACTTTCGGGGATTATAAGCTTTTTGTATTCTTAATGTCTAATTTAGTTTTTGGTCAGCTCTTATGAGGTCATTAGCGTGGTGAGGTTCGTTTCGCCATGGGTCTTCAAAAAATTTATAGACAATTTTTAATGTCGTTATAATTTGTCACTGCAATTCTTAAGGAATATTTTAAAATTATATGATACAGTTAGTTTCTTTTTGAAATGATGCTATTTATTTTGTAATAAATGTCATATCATTTAGACGCATGTTCCCGACGGTGCGCGTCTCATTCGCGGGATGCCGCGCGGAGGCGCGTTACGCGGTGCTGCTGGACGTGGTGCCGGTGGATGGCAAGCGGTACCGTTACGCGTACCACCGCAGTTCGTGGCTGGTAGCTGGCAAGGCTGACCCACCTGCGCCCGCTCGCCTCTATCCACACCCCGACTCGCCCTTCTCCGGTGATCAGCTGCGGAAGCAGGTCGTCTCCTTCGAGAAAGTAAAACTTACCAACAATGAAATGGACAAGAACGGACAGGTAAGATAAACTTTAATTATTCCTAAATAAATTAAGGTTTTTAGATTTTTTTGTTAGATATAATAGTAAGCAAATAGAGACGCTACAGTTGATAATAATAAATGATTAATGATGTTGCAACTCTGATACCACAACCATTATATTTATTAATCAATTTCAATACGTTAGGTGCACAAGTATAAATTACCAGTATAATTTAAATACACAAACGTTAGGTGTAAGAACAACGTGGAGGTTATAGCAGTGCTAAGAACAAGGTGATAAAGCGGCCGAGTCTGAATGAGCTATAAAGTGCTGACGTAAAACGGTTGATTTACGGTTCGCTCCGGGTGTCGCTGACGGTTAACGAGCACCGCAGGTTCTACCCACGATCAATATTTGACTACTCATATAAAGCGATATGAGTTAGTAATTTCTAATAACACAAATAGTTTATGTTACAACCTAACTAATTATATGGGATCTATTTAATTCAGCTCCAGAAAATACATACTGTTTGTAAATACTCGACTTGACTACAGTTACAACTAGAATGATTGCTTTACAAATCGTCTTTTACAAAATATGTCTGTCAACATTTAATTACACATTGACCACTTTTGCTACTGGATGTAAAGATTCTTGTTACGATACCTACGAGTTTTATGTACACTTGGGTTGTATATCAAATTTCAATCAATAATGGGATTGAACAATGATATAAAATACTATTTGAAATAAAATAAATCTAGACATGAAACCAGTAACACATTTCACAAATTATTTGTTTTCAAAATTATTTAAATATTTCCTACAAGCATGTCTCGTGTAACGTGTTGTCACATGGAGCACTTCCTGATGTGTTAACCAGCAATTTAGGTGTATATAGAATTACTTTAAAATTGCTAGAGTTAGCGACACCTCGGGCATCGTCGGGGAGAATGTAATGATTGCGTTGCTGGCAACAAATTAGCCGCACATGTCGTGCCGCGTCAGCCGGCACCTCACGGCTACTTACCTCCGCGGCGCAGGTGCTAGTGCCACTAAAGCAAATGTCACACACAGCGACCGCCTTCGCAAGACCTTGCATTCAATCTTTAGCTTGGGATAGACTAGGTCTTGTTTACTGGACGTATATTTACTTATAAAGCCTAGTCAAGAATATGACAGGTATGAAAATTGCGAGTCAATGCTGATAGCATCACAAATGTAAATAGATTTTTAGCTGATTAAAACTTGTCTTTTTTTTTCTTCAAATAAGATACCTTCATAGTTACTTTATTTTTTATGTAATTATTTACCTCATTAACAGCCTTTAATAGGTCACTGCTAGACATGGGCACGGTACTTTTATAATACAGTACTGCAACTTCATACAAACGGACGAAACGGGAGCTATACCTACGCGACTCGATCTCGGGGTGCGCTCGGGGCGCAGACAGTCACGGCTGTACCGCAGTGTCGAACGGACTGCGTGTTGTTTTTTTAACAATAACCGCGCGATTTTTTCTCTAAAAATCAGTTAATATGACGAGTAGGAAATATTGTGCTGTTTTTGGTTGTATGAATTCGTCAATAACGCATCCAGACATAAGTTTTTTTAAATTACCTGGAAACTCTGAAAAGTAAGACTATAAAATAATTTTACTTACTAGTACGTAGGTACATAATGTGTGTCTTTTTAATGGATAAGTATTTCCTTTTATCTCACGAAAAAAAAGGTGTTTGGATGAATAAATAAAGCAAATAGAGTAACGGAAAGTTATTGAGACGAGTGAAATAGGGAGTTACATGCGGTTCTGAATGAATCATGATACGGTAGGTACCTACCTACTTACGCTTGTGTTAAAACTTCGGTGCATGTTTGTTTTGTTACTTTGCATAATTCAAAAAAAAGAAAATTCTACTTAAAGACGTGGTATTTTATTATTAATAATATATCTTTATTATCTGTGTGTATGAATAATACTAAAAAAAATTTGTTACCGTCTGTGTGTCATTAGACAGTTTTCGAAATTTTCACAAAGTGTTTCTGCTGCTACTATAACAACATATACCACTAAAAACTGGTTTTATTTTCTCGGTATTAACAACAACAGCTAGACTCATATATAATATTTAGATGTTTGAGGGTTGTGATTTTAAAACATTCGTAGTCAGCTGTTCAGCTTTTTAATAATTAATTAATTGGTGACCAAAGAATTTTTGTTTTGAGTTGTTGCGAGTTGTAGGTTATAGGTTAGGTAATTTATAGAGACGTTAATTAGCTGAGATAAAAAGTTACTTACTCGTCAGCTGTTTCTTGCATTCTAGTTGAGTAGGTGGTAGGTGTTGGAGTTTCTAAGGATTGGAGTTTTGTAACGCGTATGGAGAAAGCACATTTATTTTATTTTATAGAAGGATTTTTTTCGGTCGCTAATTTATAAGCCCGATTGGTTTTTCAAACAAAAAAATGTTTTGACGTGACAACGTCTTATAAATTGGTTTGCCGGGTGACACTTCAAGAAACTGCGTTACGCTCCGCTCACGTTATGCGCTCACAATGAGAGCGAGTGAGAGGCACGCGTCCCTTCCAATCGGGCATGGTTAGCCCGCCTAAGAGCGAGAGAGACAGACATAGTCGTTGTCACGTAAAACTTTCGCCCGTATACCGACTTTACAGGCAACCAATTATTTTTTTTAAATTAAATCTACCAATCAAAAAACAACACGCATTTTTATTGAACAATTCCTATTCAATATACAAAGTATTTCATTTATTTATATAAAAAGGATATTTACAATCACAAATCTAAATAGAAACAGAAAGTAGGCAAATATCACTAAAATGCTGGAGACGGGCAGCCCTAACGCATGTTTACGTACCGCGCGGCTGTAGGCATTTATTTCTATCATGCGGCCGAGTTACAATACTGTATTATAATAGTACCGTGACATGGGCCTCTCGTTAGAAAGGAGGTTTTGGTCTACTATACTACGCTGGCCAGACGGGTTGTTGTGCTGTTGTCCTATGTAGCTTACTACCTTAGTCGGCTCTTACGTGTGTTACACTCCGTGTTCTTAACGGACTGTTTACCTAGTAACGTTTGACTGCACGGATGGCGTAGCGGTTTAAGCGGTCGCCACTCCGCTTCCTACTACGCCGTGTGTTGTGGGTTCAAACCCGACATGGGTGTGATCCATGGGTGTGATCCCAATGTGTGATCCACAAATTGTTGTTGTGAATCTGGATGTTCTTTGCATCCGTTTCATGTGTTTGTAAAGTCCCCCGCGACACAGGATATATTCCTAATTTCCTAATGCGTGAGTTGTCTTTATATCTAAACGTACTTAATAGCTATCGTAAGCGCGTTAATTCCCGTAAAAATAATTATATAATAGTTAAACAACTTCAAATAAACTTTAAAAGTTCAGTTTATATACTTCTTGGATTTAAATCAGTATGATCAAGACTGGGTACAAGGGAGATCGTAAACCGATAAAAATATTTCTGTTTTTAAATATTAAAAGTACTACAGTGTAATGAAATAAGTTCGTGTTAATTATATCAGTGTTAAGTTACGCACAACGCGGTTTGTAGTTGAGTTCAACGGAACGGAACGTTGAGGGCGTGGCGCGGTGATGGATGGAGCCTACTCTCTCTAAAACTCACCTAATTGGCTTTCCCATACCTTCAAGTACCTAGTAGACCCGATAACACGATTAACGTTTGGGGTTAATTAATTAGTAATGTTATATTATTCAAAACATACATTTATCGTTTGTAACTATTCGTTTTGGTACTGCACTTCCATTCAAAAGTAAAATCAATATATTCAAAACAAATATGAGTGCCTGCCTTTTGCATCCGAGTACACAAACCAACTTATACTTCATTGTATTTATGAGGTTAACTAACATCACTGAAATCAGCCTGTGATAGAGGAAAATCGTAATGCACCAATTACTAAATACCTACAAGATAAATGTAACTGATATACATAAATTTTAATAAAATAAAGCAACTGGCATTACACAAAGAACATTTCTACCTTAATAAATCTGAACAGCATTATTTATTCTTTTTAAAAGAAATGATAATATTCACGTAAAATTTATAAATAAAACATCTAATTAGCAGTATATTATAAAAACGGAACTGGAATTGCTGAGTCGTTAACATTTGTAACAAACTATAGTCCACGCAACTCGACACCGGCGCGTGTCGCTGTGGGTCTCGAAGGCCCCGCGCGCCGACTAATTGTGGAACAAAAACTCCATGAAACCGCCGAATTAATCACCGCGGCAATATTTAACAGCCTGTATTTGAAATAACGTCTGCACTTATGGCAACACTTGGAATTTACAACAATTAGGTACAACAAGGTTTCCATAATTGTAATAAGTAATGTATAAATTAGGTTAAGTAACCAATTATTGTCGATGAAAATATTTGTAGGTATACTATGTAAAAAGCACTTACATCATCCGTTGGTGTCATTACCGATTTCTGGTTTTTGGAACAGCATTTACACATGTCATTTTAAAGAATCCCTATATTTTTTTAAATGACATACATTACATTGTAAACAACTAGTCTACCTTTTTAGTTTTGTGTTTAGCTTTCATGTACTCGTAGTAAAATTAAGGTCACTCAGGTTATTAAATCATAATTCATGAGTTTATGAGAATTGCCAAGAACGATCATTTGAAACCGTAGCGATGATGTATCGCAATTGTCCGTCTCCGGTCACAAAGACCGTCCAGCGACATTAGCAGGTTAAATCAGTAAATCTTGATATGTCATATTTTGTTACCCACGCCACGCATGTATATCTATTTTATTTAAGCTTTTACCAACTTGAATGCATATTAAAAATAAACTTTGTCTACATTTTAGTCTATCTAAAAGTCCTATATTCTTTTTTACAGCTGTCCAAATTCTTAATGAATGTTAAACTCCGTCAACTCCATCGCTCAAGGTTTGAAAATAAACACCTGGTGTTTATTTTCTTTAAATAGTGAAGTGTACATATGTCAAG